GTCCGAACTTGACTACTCAAATCTTTGTAGTTCTTGAGATATGCCGTTTCTCATGGATTTTCTAAAAAATTCCGAAAACTTAGTTTTGAATTTTGGAAAAATTAAAAACCCCAACTCTGTAGTTGGGTATTGTGAGTGTACTCTCAAGAATTGCAAATTTTGCGTCTAAATGCGACTGCTCAATTCTTTTATTTTATTTCTGAGACGTGACGTTATTTCATATTATTTTAAATTGTTTCAAAGAACTAAGATTGAATTTAAAAAAACCTTGAATAAAAACCTATTTACAAAATTTGAAATTACCAAACCTGTAAACAGGTGCTGTCAGAGTACATTCAAAGGATGCAGATCTTATTTCCAATATATTCGGTTTTCTATAGTGTTCTTAGAAACTTAGAGACGTGGCGCAGTCAGAGTACGTTCAGAGGTTGCGAATCTTGCGTCCGAACTTGACTACTCAAATCTTTGTAGTTCTTGAGATATGCCGTTTCTCATGGATTTTCTAAAAAATTCCGAAAACTTAGTTTTGAATTTTGGAAAAATTAAAAAACCCCAACTCTGTAGTTGGGTATTGTGAGAGCACTCTCAAGAGTTGCAAATTTTGCGTCTAAATGCGACTGCTCAATTGTTTTTTTTTATTTCTGAGACGTGACGTTATTTCATATCATTTTAAATTGTTTCAAAGAACTAAGATTGAATTTAAAAAACCTTGAAGAAAAACCTAAAAATTTGAAATTACCAAACCTGTAAACAGGTGCTGTCAGAGTACATTCAAAGGATGCAGATCTTATTTCCAGTATATGCGGTTTTCTATAGTGTTCTTAGAAAATTCAGAGGTTGCGGTGGTACGTTCAGAGGTTGCAAATCTTGCGTCCGAACTTGACTGCTCAAATCTTTGTAGTTTTTGTGATATGCCGTTTCTTATGGATTTTCTTAAAAATTTCCGAATACGTAAATTTGAAGTTTCGCAAAATTTAAAAACCCCAACTCTGTAGAAGGGTATTGTGAGAGCACTCTCAAGAGTTGCAATTTTTGCGTCTAAATGCGACTGCTCAATTGTTTTTTTTGTTTCTGAGACGTGACTTTGTTTAATCTCATTTTGAATTGTTTTAAAGAACTAAGATTGAATTTAAAAACCTTGAATAAAAACCTATATACTAAATTTGAAATTACCAAACCTGTAAACAGGTGCTGTCAGAGTACATTCAAAGGATGCAGATCTTGTTTCCAGTATATGCGGTTTTCTATAGTGTTCTTAGAAACTTAGAGACGTGGCGCAGTCAGAGTACGTTCAGAGGTTGCGAATCTTGCGTCCGAACTTGACTACTCAAATCTTTGTAGTTCTTGAGATATGCCGTTTCTCATGGATTTTCTAAAAAATTCCGAAAACTTAGTTTTGAATTTTGGAAAAATTAAAAAACCCCAACTCTGTAGTTGGGTATTGTGAGAGCACTCTCAAGAGTTGCAAATTTTGCGTCTAAATGCGACTGCTCAATTGTTTTTTTTTATTTCTGAGACGTGACGTTATTTCATATCATTTTAAATTATTTCAAAGAACTAAGATTGAATTTAAAAAACCTTGAAGAAAAACCTAAAAATTTGAAATTACCAAACCTGTAAACAGGTGCTGTCAGAGTACATTCAAAGGATGCAGATCTTATTTCCAGTATATGCGGTTTTCTATAGTGTTCTTAGAAAATTCAGAGGTTGCGGTGGTACGTTCAGAGGTTGCAAATCTTGCGTCCGAACTTGACTGCTCAAATCTTTGTAGTTTTTGTGATATGCCGTTTCTTATGGATTTTCTTAAAAATTTCCGAATACGTAAATTTGAAGTTTCGCAAAATTTAAAAACCCCAACTCTGTAGAAGGGTATTGTGAGAGCACTCTCAAGAGTTGCAATTTTTGCATCTAAATGCGACTGCTCAATTGTTTTTTTTGTTTCTGAGACGTGACTTTGTTTAATCTCATTTTGAATTGTTTTAAAGAACTAAGATTGAATTTAAAAACCTTGAATAAAAACCTATATACTAAATTTGAAATTACCAAACCTGTAAACAGGTGCTGTCAGAGTACATTCAAAGGATGCAGATCTTGTTTCCAGTATATGCGGTTTTCTATAGTGTTCTTAGAAACTTAGAGACGTGGCGCAGTCAGAGTACGTTCAGAGGTTGCGAATCTTGCGTCCGAACTTGACTACTCAAATCTTTGTAGTTCTTGAGATATGCCGTTTCTCATGGATTTTCTAAAAAATTCCGAAAACTTAGTTTTGAATTTTGGAAAAATTAAAAAACCCCAACTCTGTAGTTGGGTATTGTGAGAGCACTCTCAAGAGTTGCAAATTTTGCGTCTAAATGCGACTGCTCAATTGTTTTTTTTTATTTCTGAGACGTGACGTTATTTCATATCATTTTAAATTATTTCAAAGAACTAAGATTGAATTTAAAAAACCTTGAAGAAAAACCTAAAAATTTGAAATTACCAAACCTGTAAACAGGTGCTGTCAGAGTACATTCAAAGGATGCAGATCTTATTTCCAGTATATGCGGTTTTCTATAGTGTTCTTAGAAAATTCAGAGGTTGCGGTGGTACGTTCAGAGGTTGCAAATCTTGCGTCCGAACTTGACTGCTCAAATCTTTGTAGTTTTTGTGATATGCCGTTTCTTATGGATTTTCTTAAAAATTTCCGAATACGTAAATTTGAAGTTTCGCAAAATTTAAAAACCCCAACTCTGTAGAAGGGTATTGTGAGAGCACTCTCAAGAGTTGCAATTTTTGCGTCTAAATGCGACTGCTCAATTGTTTTTTTTGTTTCTGAGACGTGACTTTGTTTAATCTCATTTTGAATTGTTTTAAAGAACTAAGATTGAATTTAAAAACCTTGAATAAAAACCTATATACTAAATTTGAAATTACCAAACCTGTAAACAGGTGCTGTCAGAGTACATTCAAAGGATGCAGATCTTGTTTCCAGTATATGCGGTTTTCTATAGTGTTCTTAGAAACTTAGAGACGTGGCGCAGTCAGAGTACGTTCAGAGGTTGCGAATCTTGCGTCCGAACTTGACTACTCAAATCTTTGTAGTTCTTGAGATATGCCGTTTCTCATGGATTTTCTAAAAAATTCCGAAAACTTAGTTTTGAATTTTGGAAAAATTAAAAAACCCAACTCTGTAGTTGGGTATTGTGAGTGTACTCTCAAGAATTGCAAATTTTGCGTCTAAATGCGACTGCTCAATTGTTTTATTTTATTTCTGAGACGTGACGTTATTTCATATTATTTTAAATTGTTTCAAAGAACTAAGATTGAATTTAAAAAAACCTTGAATAAAAACCTTTTTACAAAATTTGAAATTACCAAACCTGTAAACAGGTGCTGTCAGAGTACATTCAAAGGATGCAGATCTTATTTCCAGTATATTCGGTTTTCTATAGTGTTCTTAGAGACGTGGCGCAGTCAGAGTACGTTCAGAGGTTGCGAATCTTGTGTCCGAACTTGACTACTCAAATCTTTGTAGTTCTTGAGATATGCCGTTTCTCATGGATTTTCTAAAAAATTCCGAAAACTTAGTTTTGAATTTTGGAAAAATTTAAAAACCCCAACTCTGTAGTTGGGTATTGTGAGTGTACTCTCAAGAATTGCAAATTTTGCGTCTAAATGCGACTGCTCAATTGTTTTCTTTTATTTCTGAGACGTGACGTTATTTCATATTATTTTAATTGTTTCAAAGAACTAATATTGAATTTAAAAAAACCTTGAATAAAAACCTGTTTACAAAATTTGAAATTACCAAACCTGTAAACAGGTGCTGTCAGAGTACATTCAAACGATGCAGATCTTATTTCCAGTATATTCGGGTTTCCATTGTGTTTTTAGAAACTTAGAGACGTGGCGCAGTCAGAGTACGTTCAGAGGTTGCGAATCTTGCGTCCGAACTTGACTGCTCAAATCTTTGTAGTTTTTGAGATATGCCGTTTCTTATGGATTTTCTAAAAAATTCCGAAAACTTTGTTTTGAAGTTTGGAAAAATTTAAAAACCCCAACTCTGTAGTTGGGTATTGTGAGTGTACTCTCAAGAGTTGCAATTTTTGCGTCTAAATGCGACTGCTCAATTGTTTTTAGTTTCTGACTTGTGACGTTATTTCATCTCATTTTAAAATGTTTCAAAGAACTAAGATTGAATTTAAGAAAAAAACTTGAATATAAACCTATTTTACAAAATTTGAAATTACTAAACCTGTAATCACTTGCTGTCAGAGTACATTCAAAGGATGCAGATCTTTTTTCCAGTATATGCGGTTTTCTATAGTGTTCTTAGACATTTTTACACCGGTAGTCATTTTTAAAATACTGGAAAACATTTTTAGAATTCTGTTGTTGTAAGAACTTGTTGCAAACCCAATGAGAAGAGTTACACCTTAAATGGGCTAAGGTTGTGTGTTTGAATCTGGCCATTTCTTTTTTTTTCAACGTGGAAATGATCCGTTTCAAAAAGGTTTGCGTGGCCTGTTTGTTGTTTGTGCTTATTTTTATATCGGTCTAGTCGCTGTATCACGGATTTTTTATCGTTGTAATGACCTAATATTTCGTAGTTTGAAAGGAAAATAGAATTTTAGCCGTTTGTGCTTCCTGGTTGGGATTGGGCATTAAGGCTTAGATTTCTAGAACTTTCAATAGTTTTCCTTGGCTAAAATTTGTTTTTCGGCTCAACGGGATTTACCGAATTTTTGGTGACTAAAATGCCGCTTCGATAACTGTTTCTGAATATCTATTTAACGAGATCAACTGTGTTTCTGGGTATCTTTTCCTCAAATATAACATCATACCAGAAGTTTTTGTGGTTGTCGTTCCGGTGATTTGTTTTTCTTCAATTTTTCGTCGTATTTGCTTATGCCATTTTCTGTCTGCTAGCTGGTTATGCTATAAATGCGAGGTATCAAAAGTGGTGCGGAGCTCAGCTTCGTCTCTGTGTTGAAAGATTAATAAACCTGTATCCTGTTCAGCACGACAATTTGCTCATGGGAAATGGGTCCAGTGAGCTGATCGATCTAATCATTCGTCTCGCACCTTCTGGGCCTTACTCTGTGGGCCCCAACGAAGTGCAGTACAAGGAATACGAGAACTCATGCCACCGCTACAACCGCGAGCTGGCCACAGATCCCAAAGCAGCTGCGCTGCATGTATTTGTGAACCCAACGAATCCTACTGGAGAATATATGACACTTGAGAAAACGAAACGTTACATAGAAGATAATTGCCGTAATGGAAGGTATGTATTGTTTCCTCTTTTTCATCAAGGTTGTATTGTCATGATAATTTTGCATATTTAACGAAAGAGTGTTTTCATGTTTAAGCTATATCATATATTGCAATGCTTAAGAAAATTTTTCATTTAGTTTTCCGCAAGGTCATTAATTTTCAGTAATTTTTTGCGAGGCCAAATTAAGGCTGTCTGTCTGTATTCCTGCTTTGTTTATTAATTTGATTGTCTGTCTACCCGTCTCATAATTTTTTAACTTTCATCTATCTATCATATTTTCATATACGGGCTTCACTATCTCGCCATGTTTAGGCTTTTTCAACGTGTTATTTTTGCATGGTTAACAAAAGAATTTCACGTTTAAGCTATATCGTATATTGCTATGGTTAAAGTTTTTGTTTCAATTTTCTAGTTTAAATTCAGTGTTTATTTCATCAAATTTGAAATTAGCAACCTAATAGTGGGGTGTTGTCAGAGTTTTCCCAGGTTTTGCGATTCTGGCCTCTATATATGAATAACCAAATCCTTTTAGTGTACGAGATAGGCAATTTTCGAGATTCTTTAGAAATTTCTAGAAAAATTAATTTTAAAATATTTCTCAATTTTTGAAATTCTCACCCTGTAGTTGGGTGCTGTCAGGGTACTCTCAGGGGTTGCGAGTCTTGCCTCCAAATCTCACTTCTCAAATCGTTGTAGTTTTCGAGATATAACGTTTTTTATGATTTCAAAAACTTAGACTTTAAAAAATTCCAAAACGTTAAGATCTTATTCCTGTTGTGGGATATTGTAAGAGTACTCTCAGGGGTTGCAAATCTTGCCTCTGATTATGGCTGCTTAAATCTTTGTAGTTTTCGAGATCTGACGTTTTTTAGGGTTTTTTCAAAATTTTTCAGAAAAATTGGATATAGAAAATTTCACAAAATTTCATATTCGCATCGCTGTGGTGAGGCTCTGTCAAGGTACTCTCAGGATTTGCGATTTTTGCCTCCAAATATGACTGCTCAAATCCTTGTAACTTTCGAGATTTTATAACATGTTTCAAAAAAAAGTGAAGTTTCTCAAAGTTTGAATTTCCCAACGTTGTAGTTGGTACTATAAGAGTACTCTCAAAAGTTGCAAATCTTGCGTCCAAATGCGACTGCTCAATTGCCTTTTCCAAAATGTGACGTTTCTTAGTTCATTTTAAATTTTTCAATAAAAAACTTCACAATATATTATGGTTCTTCAAAATTTGTATGAAAAACTTGAATAAAGAACTTTGCAAAGTTTGTAATTACGAATCTTGTAATTGGGTGCTGTCAGAGTACGCTCAAAGAATGCAGATCTTTTTCCAATATATGCGGTTTATTATGAGTACCGGAGGTGCGTTACACGCTAGTCCTACATGATAAAAAAAAAGCCATGATATAACCAATGACTACTGAGTTAAATAGTGTTTAGAGGTTTAATTTGGCTATTTTCCTTTCTAGCTATGTGGTGCTAGACGAGAGCATGTTGCCCTGGTTTGGACCCCGGTGGAGGGAAGTGTCAGTGTACAACCAGGCTGACTGGATCCAGTCCATGCTCGCAGAGAGAGGAGTTCACATCATAGTCATCCACAGCTGGACGAAGATCTTCTGCTGCACCGGTCTCAGAATCGGCTCCATCATTCTCCCTTGCAGGTAAGAGGAAGCTAGTATTTACATTAGCAAGCAGCTAGTTATATAAGTACGAACCTTTTTTCTAACCAAACTCGCTAATAAGTGGTCATTGAAAATGGAAAGTGTTCACTTATTTGGTGGCACTTTTGCTATAACCACGATCTAGCACTGGAAATTTCATAGCATCTGTTCTCTGTTTTATTTGTGGCTTGTGTTTGTGATGTATTAAGCGTGCGTGGATGAGTGGTTAGTGTGTGAGGCGCATAATCTCTAGGTTGCAGATTGAATCTGAGACGTAGCAGATTTTTACTAATTCGAGGCTTATTTCTATTTTTCTTTATAGAGCTGCTTTTTGTTCGTGTTCTCGCTAGTGTTTGTGAAGCGAAGATTCGCCTCTGTGTTTCATTTTAAAGTTTTTTCTAACATATTTTGGTTGAAATATTTTACATATTTTGGTTGAAACATATTTTACGCTTGTTGGTTTGAATGAAAGGTGTAATTTGAGTTTCTATTACCTCTACATGGGCTAATTGTACACGGCTAACATAGTGGAGGCAATTTTAAACAGGGTGGGCGCCTATTCATTTCATGAAGTGGCAGTAATCAGAAGTCCACTAATTTTGGCGCTGAATTCACTGTTTTTTTTTTGTCAGGGACGACTTTGACCTGATGAGGAAGTTCATGGTTCCGTGGAATGTGAACGTACTTGCGGGCGACTATCTAAGTGTGTGTATGAAGAACAAGGAGTACATGCAGCAGACGTGGGATATCACGGGACAACTGAGACGGACCCAGAAGCAACAGTTACAAACTGAGTTCCCCCACTGGGACGTGAAGGGGGAGGCATTCCTCAGCTGGATGTGGATAGACACTAAGTCAGAGCAGGTAGTCACATGCAGCAACATCAACCAATCGAAAAAGTTACATAAAATTGGCCCCTAAACTTCACGAGTGTTAAACCTTATTTCCCGATATCTATAAACGCCAATATTTATACAAACCAACGGCTACAAGCTGATCCAAAAAATTTGTGGTTTAATTTATGGAAGTGATAGATGATTGCTTAATATACATCTACTTGATGTTATTGGTGACATGTATTGTTTGGACCAGGAGGCAGAGAAGGCAGTGAGGGTGGCGAAGGAATGGGGCTGTCCGATCCGGTGGGGTAAGAAGGGCTACGGCAGACCCACCCATATCAGACTGGCAGTGCGCAAGCCAGAACTGTTCCAGACACTCCTATCTGCATTCAAGCAGGAACTCAAGTGATGCAGTAGCAGAAGCAGACAACTCAAACGCATTCGCATCATCATAAGCACAGAACTTATACATACACTACACACCTCACAACAGGGCACAAGATAGCACAACAACTGCTACAGTTTGATTGTAATTGTTCAATATCAAAATAGCGCTACAATCGTCTTTTTGTCTGTGCGCGTAAGAGTTTCTGAGATTTGCTACAAAACTATTCAAATGATGAGATCTGTTTATTAATTTGTAAGTAACCAAGCAGAGTTATACCAATTTATCAAATATTTTATTGAATAAGTGTTAATGGACAACCGCTCTTTTATTTCCCACATTTTTCTGCAAAAAGCATCAGTCTTGAAATTTGACTGTTTTCTGTTTTTGGCAAAGAGCCCTATTTTCTTTGCTTTCCTGGGTCCATTTATACTTTTTTTGGTTTCATGGGTCCCATTAATACTTTTCCAACTGCGTGTTGGCTGATTTCTTTGTTTTACTAGGCTGTGAGTTTGATAACCATACAATGGTTTTCTTCCTTTCACCGATTCTCAGGGTCACTGAAATTATGAGCTCACTTCAGTACTCAGCTTTATAATCATGAATCAATACGTCTCGTTATTATCGTGAACTACTTAAAGCCTTGAACTTTATGTTTAATCAATATTTCACTGTCCCTGAAAATGATTTACAGAGATAATATATCCCGTGATTGTATAATATGAATGAGATAGTGCTGATAAAACTTATTGCAATCGTTTTGTCCTTCTAGATGTAGGCAAGATACCATATTAGTAGATTAAACAAAACAGAGTCCACTGATTAGAAGTAAGTTTAATGCAGGTCGTGCCCTGACTTTAAGAACAAGAAACATGCGGCATGAAGGCGTTGCAAACTAGGCCTTGGAATTCTAGATGTGATATATGTCTTGCTCTTGGTAGCATCGATCTTATTTGTGCTGTGGTGGCAACACTGTAGAGTGTAAGATTTGGAGTGAAGTTTATTTCACGCCTTTTTCTGTTGGCTGTTGTGGGAATGGATAAAAGTACGGAGACGTTTGCGGGCCATGACGCCTTGTGCGTGGATGATCCGATCCAGTTCGGAGTGAGTGCCGCTCAGAGGCTGTTGAGGGGAAAGCGTGTGGTCATCATGGGCTGCAGTGTGCAGAGGGATCTGTACAAGGATTTAGTGCTGCTGCTGCAGGAGCAGCGGTACTTGTCCAAATACGAGAATAGGGTCAAGGTATGCCCTCCTCAGCGCATTTTTTTCCAAGCTCCCATCCAACACCCCCAAGGATGATCACAAAAATTTGATCTCGAGACCATTCCTTTCACCAGGACACACTGTGTTTGAATCTTTATCATTTTTGTAGTTAATTTCAAATTGTTGAAGATATCCTGTTCGATCAACGAATCTCAACGAAGTTAAGTAACTTAAAACTGCTCATTTTAACGTTTGATGTCAACCTATATCTGATTTTCACACGTAAACACTGTTTTTCAAAAGTAAGAACTAACAAGGATAGCCGGTTACTGTGCAAGTAGTACAGAATGTTCCGACCGTAGTCTTTGAAAAAAATAGAATAAAAAAGTTTGTGTTGTTTTTTGGCGTGGCGTGATAAAGGAGCAGAACGAAAAATTAGAGATTAGGCATATTGGACAGTCATAGTAAAATAAGCAATATGAAAGCAATTAAAGAAAAATGACTAGAAAAACTAAGAAAAATATCAAAAAAAATCAAATTTTGCAGCTTGAATTTTTATTCCAAAAGGGCGCTAAAATACTGAAAATAAACTAAAGTTACTCGACTGAAATTATTTTTGTTTTGTTTTGAATGTAGCTATTGTAGGCCTGCTCGCTCGCTTTGGTCGCTCGAGTTAAGACGAAAAACTAAAAATTTCAAACCGGTTTTCTCGACAAATTGAAAAAAAATTTTATGTTGGAATCGCGACTGTAAGGGCTTGAATATGATATAGCGCTCAACTCTCTCCGATTCTAATATGTGGTAGCTGATTTTGCGTAGAAAACAAAAAAAATAAAACACCCGAATTCAAAGCTCCTCCCCAATTTCCAAATGGTCGGAACAATTAAGTAGCTCAAGGTCACCAATATTAACAGTTTCGCATTAACTACAACAAATTTATTTGACAACGTCTTAAATTGCGAAGTAGTTCTGACCTTGCCACTGTGAATTGAAATTGCAATCGAATTTTGCCAAAAGGTTGCGCTTTTTCAAAATATTCCTTTTTATTGAATAATTTCAAGGCGTCAACTTCAAACGAAGCTCATTCAACTGCGCAACACTTCAGAGCAAACAAAATCAGGCAAATACAAAGTTTCAAAGAAATATTCCGAATACTTTTCAGGTTGAGGGTCAGAGTGCTGTCAAAATATGTTAAAAACTAGTGCTGATGTAAATTATCCGGATAAAACCAAGCAAACTTGAAGATTTAAACGCGTTGCTCTCAAATTCGGTTAAGATAACACAAAAAGTGAAGAGAACGAAATTTGCTGAAAATTTCATCAGAATTATCATGGTTCAGTTTTTTGTGCGAAATTCGCAACCTAAGTTTTACCCCAAGAATGAGTCTTTTTGGCTTTTTTTTAGTTAATCAAAAATCCTTTAAGGTCGACCAAATTGATTTTACGAGCGCTCCCAGATCACTTTTAAGACCCTATTTTGACCAAAAAGTTTATGCCACAGACAAATTTTGACCAACTTTTCGGAAAATTTTTTCGGCGCGTTTTTTCGGCCCGTGCTCCCCTTCAAAATTAGTATATATCGTCGGCCTAAAATGGATGTCATAAAATGATATCTTAGGTGGATCCTCGGGTCGGTGAAAGGGTCGAATCCCTGAGATAAGACGCCCTCCCCCCCTTATTCAGCCCCTGCATTTCATATTCCTTAAATGAACTCGTTGGACAAATACTACTGCTGGGCTGGTGTGTGCGGTGGATATATTCAGTGCCAAATCAAAGTTAAGCGCGCGCAAAACAAATCTAGCAATAGAAGCTGTGTATACCTGTTAGTATTATTTGGTACAATCAAATTGTACATATGTTAAGGGTTCCAGAACTGTAGTGAACGACACACTGCTCAAAGGGGGTATTTTGGAGGAGCTTAAGAACGACCCCTCGTACCGAGAAGTGCGGGAGTATCGCCAGGGAGAGTTCCATATCCGCTTCTACTTTATCACCAGGGCCTACAATCCAATCGTCCTGGGGTTTGTGCGCAACATATACGCTGAATTCGACCCAGACATTTTCCTGTTCAACTCGGCAATCTGGGATGTGAACAGAAATGGGCCTCCTTTTGATCACTCTGCGTACGAGCAGAATGTGCGCTACATCTGCCAAGTGCTGGTGCTTCTCTTCTCGCAGCACTGCAGACTCATCTGGCTGCACCAGCCCCCAGTCACTCCCAAATGTGCAACTGGACGAATAGTGCTGCAGGCCAACCAGGACGTGTTGAAGTCGAATGTTTTGCGGTGGATGTACGAGGCTGTCTGCATTGCAGAGAACATTACTAAGCAATACGGATTCGAAACTATTGACCTTTACCATCTCATGAAGCACAGGTCAAGCTGGATTGGTAAGTTCAATAGCAGTTTCTCCGAACCAGAGCTTAATTGCACGCAAAATTTCTGGTAAAATTATTTAGAATAGCAGGATTCCGCCCCAATTCGAAATGCCGAATAAACGAATTAATGAGCGGTCAAAATAATTGTATGACTAATTTTACCCTCTCATTTTTTGCGGTGAAAATATTTTGAAAGTAATAAATGCTCTGTTTCTCTGCGGTGCAGCCAAGGACGGTGTGCACTGGGCCTCTGAAGGCTACAGGTGCATGTCTCTGCTCGTGTTCCACAAGCTCAGTGCCATGTACAATATTCCACTGCCAGAAGAGAGCGTGCAGTATGCATATCCCTCCGAGCTGAGTCAGGAGGAACTAAACAAGGTGTTTGACGAAGATGACAACGACATCAGGTAGAGTATATGGGATAGAGGTTGTGCTACAAACCGGTAGTGGATTTAGAGGGGAGGTAATGCGGATGCCCCCTCCCCTCAGGGATTCGCCCACCCAAAGGGTCCTTACTGGTACTATTTTGAAGACCGACCCTAAAATATTTCTAAAGACGAATTCGGCGCCAATATATACTAATTTGAGGAGAGAGCTCGCGCCGAAGGCCACAATCTTCCAAAAAGTTCCAAAAAGATCTTTTTGGCCTGTTTTTCCAAATTATAGTGCTTTGGGTTGGCTCAGTTGACCTGTAAAGTTAATAAGGCTGAACATAGAAAAGCTGATAATTTTTTTGAAAAACAACACCAACTTCCTTGCAGCAGACTGACTATACTCTTCGTATTTTGTTTATTTTTGTTCCGAGTTGAAAATGGGGAGAAACTTTGTATTCGGGTGTGTTTTAGTTTTGTTTCTTTCCACAGAAAATCAGGTGCCCTAATTAGTCATCGGATTATGTAAAGTGTTCAATCGTGATTCGAAAGATTTCAAAAATTGCTCTGAAAATTTTCAAATTTAGTACAATTTCAAGCGAGAAACGCGATCGAGTAACGCTCGCTATATGAAGTTTTTTAGACTTATAGATGATACCAACATATTTTTAGATGATACTGATGTAATTGCCTGTAGTTCAAATTTTATTGAGTTTCAGTCCGATTTGTTGAATAAAAATGCTTTGTTAGTCTCGAATAAATTTACATTAATTACAGATAAAACTACGTTGATTAATTTCAATAAAAAACACTTTCCAATCTTCATGTTGCACTAGGTAATATCATTTTCTGTTCTAAAGAGTCATGTAAGTATTTTAGACAACAAATTAACTTTCTTAAGTCATAGTGCAAAGTTAAATGTTATTGCATGGAGGTGTTATTTCCACAATGATATATTTTGTATCCAGAGTGGTTATTTTTAAGTATTGTAATGCCAACATAAAAATAACAATTATGCAACCTTGTTTGCTTTTCTTCTACGGCTTTCTCAAATACGTCTTTCTCAAATGTACGTCTTTCTCAAATATAAAAGCAATTTTTCTAATGTCAAAGAAACTGATCAAAATGATTTACTTCAAGCGTACGTTTGACAGTATATCAGATGAATTTCAATATAACAAGACTGCTCGTATCAGGGCGAAGCCCTGAATGTTCCGACTGCCTTTTAAGGTTTATGGAGCAGTAATAACATTTAAAAATTCAATGAAATAAAACAAAATGAAATTTTTTTTTCTAAAATTTGAAATTTTTTATGAAAATCATCCCCCCACACGCCATATAAAGTACAAATGGATAAATTTCGCTCCTTGTAATAAACCATTTATGGCAAATAAGCTTCTTTTAAACAATTTGGAACGATTTTTAAGACGATTAACTCTCCGCTTACGCGTTAATAGCGCGAAATATATCGCGCGTTAATTGTCCCAAAATGGCAATCTTTAAAACCCCGTAACTTTACGAAAAATGACCAAAGGTGAAATATCTTTTCAAATTTGAGCTCAGGACAACAATAGTTTTTTAATGATAAAAAAATTCCGTCAAAAATGGTTAGTTAAAAAGTCGAAATTTGTCTGAAGAAAAAAAAAACCCACCCCGAGCACAAATATTCCGTTACTTTCGTATCGAAAGTCGGAACAACAAGACTGCTCGTATCAGGGCGAAGCCTTGAATGTTCCGACTGCCTTTTAAGGTTTATGGAGCAGCAGTAATAACATAAAAAATTAAATGACACAAAATAAAATGAAATTTTTTTTAATTTGAAATTTTTTATGAAAATCATCCCCCCATACGCCATATAAAGTACAAAAAGATAGGTTTCATTCCTTGTAACAAATCAATAATGGCAAATAAGCTTCGTTCAAACAATCTGGAACGATTTATAAGACGGATTAAATCTCCGCTTACGCGTTAATAGCGCGAATTATATCGCGCGTTAATTGTCCCAAATTGGTCAAAATGGCAATCTTTAAACCCTCATAACTTTACGCAAAATGAGCACAGGTAAAATATCTTTTCAAATTTAGGCTCAGGACAACAATGGCTTTCGAATGATATAAAAAAAATTCCTTCAAAAAAGGCTAGTTAAAAAGTCGAAATTTATCTGAAGAAAAAAAACCCACCCCGAGCACAAATATTCCGTTACTTTCGTATCGAAAGTCGGAACATTAAGTTTTTGTCGGTACATGAACTATATTTTTACGATATACTGAATTTTTGTCTTCATTCAGTGAATAAATTGCATTAAAATAATTTTTTCAAGTCAGTTTTTTTTGCAGAAAATGAACAGGCTTAGACTACCCGTAGATCATCACTTCATGCATTCAAAAAACTTGTGTTTCAAGAAAATCAATTCTGCATCACTGCAGAAGCATGAAGCAAAGCTTTTCAATGTTTTGTGCGAAAATTGCTCAACAACAGATCATTTTGTACAAATGAATAGACAGCAAGTTTTTGTGCACAAATTGAAAAACAATTACATTCTAAGAAATTCAGAAATTACCCGCTTTATGTTCAATAATTAATTTTAACTTTGCGCATAAAACCTTGAGAAGCTTTGCTCCACGCTTCTTCAGTGATTTTTGTCGTAAGCAATGCTTAATGGGCCCTTAGCTCATACTGAATTTTTGTCTTCATTCAGTGAATAAATTGCATTAAAATAATTTTTTCAAGTCAGTTTTTTTTGCAGAAAATGAACATGCTTAGACTACCCGTGGATCATCACTTCATGCATTCAAAAAACTTGTGTGTTTCAAGAAAATCAATTCTGCATCACTGCAGAAGCATGAAGCAAAGCTTTTCAATGTTTTGTGCGAAAATTGCTCAACAACAGATCATTTTGTACAAATGAATAGACAGCAAGTTTTTGTGCACAAATTGAAAAACAATTACATTCTAAGAAATTCAGAAATTACCCGCTTTATGTTCAATAATTAATTTTAACTTTGCGCATAAAACCTTGAGAAGCTTTGCTCCACGCTTCTTCAGTGATTTTGGTCGTAAGCAATGCTTAATGGGCCCATAGCGTTTATTTAGCTTATCATCTCCATGTTGCTCTGTTGATTAAAATTGAAGATAATGAAAAAAAAAATGTCGTTTCAACTTTGTAAATTTTTTAATGTATCATTTCAATTGGCCTGCTTTTTGAAAAAGTTGCCTGCGGCGCAGAAAATTTGGTCGATACAGGGTCTTTATAGTGATTTGGCAGAGCTCAGAAAATCAGTTCGGTCGACCTAAAAAAAGTCGAGAAAAATTTCAAATTTTATTGAAAATCCGCCCTCCCCTCGAGAAATTTTTAGATCCGCGCCTGACTGCAAATAAGTTAGACAAAAGTTTGAAAAAATTTTAAAAGTTTTTTTTTTCATTTTTTGAAGACAAATTTTGGCAATCCTGCCTAATTCACTAATTTTCTAAGCGATGGTATAGTTATCGAATCACACCGCCGACTAAAAATGACACTAACTTGAAAAAAAGTAAAAAAAAATCTGTTTTTATGTATATTGACGGAACATTATGTTCTACCTGCACATCAATCGGCTATCCTTGGTTTATTTTTGGGATTAACAATCGTTATCAAATCAGAATAAAGACTTTTCAGTCTCATGTCCCATAAGCCCCCGGTCCTACTGATACTGAAAGCCTTCCAACTGCTCCAATGACTTGACAACGTTTGATACACTCAAAGTAGGATGAGACACATTGCATTATGTTCAGGTATCTCTATGCTTCCAAAGTGGAGTCGTTGACAGTGTTCGGGGATGGAGACAGTAAAGATGGTGGCCTGGACGAGGGGGGAGGTGGCAGTGTGAAGCCCTTGATCCAGCTGCTGGACCAACATAATTTCAAAAAAGTAGTGGAGAGAAACGGACTGAAGGATGCGGTCGTATGTGAAGAGGAGATTGACGGATCATTCCGCACTGCTGACGAGGTGCTCTCATCTGTTCCATTTTTTATTTACAAAAATTATCGTCGATGGTCACTTAAACTAACCCCTTTTTTCATATTAAGTTTACTGGATGAGCAAAAATAATGTTTTTCTGACTCTGAGAAGCCTGAAAGCAGGCTACAAAATTATTATGAAGTCGTGTGGTTAAGTTTTGATCTAATTTTGAAGGCAGTTAATGTTTAAAACGAAGTTCGCTTGGAAACGTGTTGTTGTTATTAGGTTCAACAATATGAAGAAGAGAAGCAACGTCAGAGAGAGGAGCAAGACAACCCGGCAGTGCTTGGCAACCGGGTGCAGCAGCAGCGCCTACGAAACTTCTTCACATCGAATCTCTCCAGCTGCCAGATCAAAGTTACGGTAGCCCCTAAGGCCAGACTAGAATCATTTTTTCAGAAGGCATCCTCTACAAATGATTCCACAGCCACCGGCTCTAGTCAATCTAATTCTGATCGGGCGCAAACTAGTGGAGGCGGTGTCTCTTTTATCCAGGCAGGATCTCAAAGTGGTATGAAGCCGAAACGGCCTTCTTTCATCCAGAGTCCAGAGGAAATGGAGGAGCAACGAAGGCATAAGGAGCAGCAGCGACCATCTGTGAACAGATCAGAGGACTTTGAGGAGGATGCGCAGCAAAGTAAACTGACGTTTCTCAACCAATTCAACTCGCAGTTGACTAGTGATAGAACTACCTCAAGTGTTGCTGCTGAACAGAGATTGAATTTGAAACAGCGTCCTCTGTCTTTCGAAGAAGTCGATGCGATTGAAGCTACTGCCACTAAAGTCTGTAAAGTGAACAGACTGCAACAGATGTTTGGATGACTCCAATTTGCATGGAACGAGAAAATATCCCGAGGTTGAACAATCTCAGCCAAGCGATGTTGATGGGACGTGCGATACAGGACCATGAACCTAAAAGCGGTGTGTTAGGTCCCCCGTCGAAGCTGCCATTTTGTTTTATTCAAAAGAGGTCACAAGCAAATTGGAGTTCGTATAAGGAACTTTGAAACAGTAACTCAAAATAAAATATATTTTCAATGTATTTCCTATTTTGCAACGGAATTCGGTACTAAATATAATTTAAATTATTCTACTACTACAACTGTTTTTACAACTTTGGTTGCGTTGTTCCGCTGGTGTTTGGTGACCGCAAAAATTAATAAAGGTATGATGGCAAAGCGAGTAGAAAGAGGATTTTTATTCATGATTCAAATGCAGCTAAATTTTTCAAAAAAAAAACAAGTCAATTTTTTGTTTATTCGAGTTCATTGTCTCTTCCAACTGGCTGTTGGCTATGTTCAATTGAAAAGGTGCCGATGTTAGGAAAACGCAGTCTATTTTAACTGTCTATTTATTAAACTTAACACCAAATCAGCTACGGACGCAACGCGTAAAAGCTTTCAGGGGGTCCGTGATTAATAGTCTCTCTTGAGTACAACGCTTGAGAGGTTAATGGGCAAAATCTGGAAGTTTTGTATATGCATAGATTTTTTGAAATCACATCTTGTATGAATGTCGTGATTACTCTCATAAAGGTCTTGGTAATCTTTTTTTGTTTTCGTTTTTCAGGAAAAATCTTAAAAACTGTTCACGCTCTAATTTGATTTTTCGCGGTTTTTTAAATTAGTTCATTTCCTTTGATAAAAGAAGGGCAAACTCCACAATCGAACAGCAAACGAGTATGAGTCACGCAAAATGTGATCAACTTCTAATTTCGAAACTGAGAACTTAACGGATTTCTCGGCAAAAGATAAACTTATTGATCTAGTTTTCTCAAATTTAGTTAATTTCATCAAAAATTTCTCAATCATAAAATGTTCTTCAAGTTCAAAGAGCTTTACGGCCATATAATTTTAGGTATAACTCCGAAAGTTTTTTTTTCTGTTTTTTTTTGTTCCTAGGCGCTTTTCCAACTGCCTGACTCGTTTCCAACTGTCTGTGCTACATGCTCAGCAACCGACTTTCCTTCTTTTATAATTTTTTCAATTATTCAAATTGTGCAAGAGTGTTGAATTATGAGAATGTGAATAAAAAAGAACAAAACTAATTTGAGGGAAAGAAAACTAAAGAATTATTTATTAAATTATATTTACCTCGTTTGAGTGATTTTTGTTTTGAACTTTTCTTGCGATTGATGATTTGAATCACTGGCTATATTGAATAGAAACTAATCCTCATTAACAACAGTTTTTATGGATAGACGCAACTTGTAAAGCTAGTTGTTTGATTGCGCTAATGTAACAGAACTGCTTCAATCTTCGGTTCGATTTGGTGAAGCTCTCATGTACTTAACTTTTTTTTTAAGTTGAGGGGACACGAGTTTTAATAATACATGATAAAATCATAACACGGTGATAGTTAAGCATATAATAGTTAAAACAAACTCTATAAAAGGATCTCGAGCTATAATAACGCTATTACAAAATTGGGAAAATCGTTAATAGCTATAAAATCTGCGTGATTAACTAACTATTGATTTAGTTCTCAATGTGAACGCTATTCTCAAAAAAAGTTTTTCATAGTTATTTTAATCTAGGTACTACAGAGGGGGGGGGGGGGGGGGGGTGGTCGATATTTGATGAAACCCTAAGAAAAGATAACAAAACTTTCTTTGAAAAGCACCTCTTTGAATAGTATATTTTATGCTTAAAATTTTCTAAATGATTACCAATTAATACATGCAGATGGTGAAATTATTGGCTCTTTTTCCTTTTCCACCCACCTCATATAAGCATCAGTTCTATGGTGTAACGAGCGGCTTTACAATGTTAGTTATGACACGGAGGCGAAGCTGAGCTTCGCACACTTGCGATACTAAACGAAAAAAAATCGAAGTTGTCGAAAAAACTAGATATATCCAAGTCAATTATTAAACCACACTCATCCTCAAAACACAAAGACACAGAAGTTTCTGTGCTTGTCTAGTATAACAATATGAGGTCACTAAGTCGATATAAAACAGGCTGAAATCTGTTCAGCTGAAAAACCTAACAAGCAGAACAAAAAAGAAAAAAGATATAAGCATTTTGTGCGACCCAGAGTGGCGCTTAAAAATATGATTTCCCTGAAACTACTCGAAAATGGGTCACTAAAAAGATAATAAATCAGCCGCAATCATTTCCGCTGAAAAACTTATTGGCGAAAAAAAATAAAAGAACAGGAAGTCAAATTTAGTTTAAAAAAATACAAATAGCAGAAAAAATCAAAACACTACAAGCAATTACAATATAACTTGCGTACTGCAAAAAATCAATTCTACGATGTGGAAACTCAGCCGACAAAACATAAGCAGATAAATAATAAGCCGACAATTTTATTGAAAAGGAATATCCGTTTTAACCAAACGACCTGTCAGATTCGAACCCAAGACTTTTGCCGTCCCTGGAGTATTTGTCATTTACCATTTCTAAGTGTGACCATTCTTTGAACAAAGTTATTTACGGGGAAGAGTACATACTTAATGTTTTTCTTGGCCTGATTAGTGCGTATAGCAATTTTCATTACAATCGGACGATTTGAACAAAATTTTTATTTCTTTAAGTTTGCAGGTGGCGAGGATATAGAGGGCGAGGATATCTTCAAAAGGATCCTGTTAAGGCATTGCCTGAAGCGAAGTAGTAGTTATACGTTTCAAACTTTACTAGCCCTGTTTATTTTGTTTACACATCAACTCTGTTGCTGTGCAAGTAGTACAGAATTTTCTGCTTGTTCGGACTATTGGGCGCTCTCATGCAATAATGAAACTAATGAGCGAGCGATTCAAATTTTTATCGAGAACTATAATTTATTCCGCGAACAATTTTTTTTTAAGTTTTCTTTCAAAATCTCTCTCTTTCTCCCTATGACGCGTGTTCCAACACTACGGTATCGATTTACGTTCTTTCCATCCAACTTAGTAGTCTTTGTACTGCGCCGGGCTTCTAGATGAAGTGATCTTCGGTTTCTCTACGCCTTCTCCTTATCTATTCTCCTCTTTGACAGTCGTGAAGAACGTTGCTGGTGGTGTCTTCGTTCCCGCAGTCGGGGAATTTTGGTTACACGTCCACTCCAATGTGTACCAGAGTGGCCTTGGCAGAGCAAGGATTGACCCATTCTGATTTGATTCGATTCGTCGTCACTCGTTCTCTTCGATTTCTGACATAGGTGCTGTGGGTAAGTTTTTGGTTTTCATGCGACTGCCATAAAGTTGGTTGTCCTTGCTTTCCTGACCCTTGTAATAGCTGTCCTGGTGCTGTCCAGACTGACAGCTCTCTTTGTCTGAGGAAGAGTCATTGCGTCATTGGCCGCCCACCTGGTCTGCTCTCTGGTTTCCCAGCTATGCCGCAGTGCGAGAAGAATGAAATGAAAGTCGCTTTCTCGATCTTTTTGAGATTTTTCCAAATTGAAACTTCCTAGTTTGCGTATTGTTCGTCCGGACTGGTGGCCAGTTTCTTCATGGAGGATTTCCACAGTAGTCTAAACGGCCACGTCGAGAATGGTCACATAATCTAATGACATAAGGATGGCTGTCATCTCCGCTTCGTAAGAAGAACAGAGCTTTCCCGTTGCAGTCTCAAGGACGGTACTCCAGATTCTTCTGATCACGATGGCTGCACCTCCACACCGGCTGATGTACCTTCTGTGGTGGAACCATCTGTCCATGTATGTATCTCCTGTGGATCCTCGTCTTCCTGTTTGTCTAGGAATTGTTCTGTGATGCGTCCTTTCTCTTCTTCGGTCTTTGCCTTCATTTTGTATTCTGTGAGGTCGAGTCAGAAGGAATTGTGTCGCTGGAATTTTGCAGGGAGCAGATCCGACACTGCTAGTTTGCGCTGCAGGAAGTGAGTTTCTTGAAAGCCTTTTTTTTCTGAGCCAAACGTATCCAACAACCACGATTTTGACGTTGTGAATCGGAGCTCTCCTGTTGGTTTCGAAGCCAGGTTTCGTGATTTCGACTCCTCCGGCAATGTCTGGTCTCGTTGTGTGCTGTATGCCTGTCTGAAGTGTCATGGGGCAGCCATATTATTCTCTCCCTAAAACAAGTCGCTGTCTCTTGCCTAACGTTTCTCGTCGTAGGCAGGTCAGCACAGACGAGAAAGCTGGCATTCTGGTGACGCCAAGGCAGCCTTTAATGACTCTGGCGTATTTGCGAGTAGAGGGCTGGGCTTTACTGAACCAGTCTTCACATGCATAGTCGGCTCTGGGAGGGTTTTTATGTGAGGTTACCGTGGAGCAACCTGCCACCGCTGTGAGGGCCCTGCGTATCCGTGCCATCTTGCGTGTGCCCCCAAAACGTGTGCGGCAAAAGTTAGCTGGCAGTCGAGTGTAAGTCCCAGGAAGACCGAGTTCGCGTCGTAGGTCAGGCTCTGTTCCCCTAGGAGGAGTTTGACCTGTTTCTTCATGTTGTTCTCCTTGGGGTCCAGTGTATAGTTTGTGTAACAGCATTTGTCCTTGCTGAGACCGACTTTAAACTTAGTGCACCATTCATCGATGGTGTCAGGTTGGATCCTGGCAGCGGTCAGCTCGCTCGAGAGTTCGGTCTGTTCTGAGGGCTGTTGTGTCATCAGCGAAGAGGCTGAGCTCGGCTTGCGGGGTTGCTTGCTTGACAACGTTGCTAAAATCATTGCAATGGCGCAGCCAAAGAATTGTGACAAGCACGTACCCCTGTGAAAGGCCTTCTCTAAAGACGCGAAGGCGGATGAGGGTGTTCTTCCGACTAACCCTCGCTCACCGATCTACCAGGAATCCTCTTATCCAGCGGGTCATACACTTTGGAACGTCCAGTTTCTTGTAGAGCGCGCTCTTCCATACCATGTCGTAGTTGGTAAGGTAGTCGAGGAGCACAAGCAAAGATCTTCTTGGTTGTTTGGCCTCAAGGCCGTCAAAGATGTCTTGCGTGAGTCTTACGAGTTGTTCTTCTGTGCTACGGTCTTTTTTGAAATCTGCCTTAAACCAGCAAGAAGCCACGGGGCAAGTTTGTTGCCTGCTTTCAGGAGGTATGATAATGCAAATAATGAGAGCAACGGGGAGGTAGATTTTCGTCGAGTCGACCGGTTTGCATTTCTCTTTGTGTGAATCGGTATAA